CTATTGCCCCAAAGTCAGGGCCCTAGGACCTGTATTGAGTAAATGAGTTTAACACTGAAAATAATTTTATGTTGAGTTTGAATGTTTAGCATGCAATTTATTACAAATTTCACCGTTAAAACTTCGTTTTGAGAAGCTGAGATTTTTTTTAAATGTGTTTTCAGAATGTAGGAAATGCTATTTCAGAGACCCAAATTTTAAAAATTTCCTGGTAGGGGCATGCCCCCAGACCGCCTAGCTAACTCGTGCCTGCGGTACTCGGCTCACACCTGCGATCGCATACCATCTTGGAGGGAGGGCAAGGAAAATGGGCCCTTTGGCAGTTTTGCCCCACCACTGAAGAATCCTTAAAAAATGCACTGTCGGAAATTGTCCGTATTAAAAAGACGTTAGAGAGTATTAGAGTTGGGGAGTATTAGAGTAAGAAGGTTAAGGAGTATTAGAGTTGTCCGAATTAAAAAGGCGTCTGTGTTGGAGAGTTGTCCGTCTATATATTAAGCCATCTAATCGCATCAACTTGGTGATGTTGAATCCCCAAACTAAATTACGGGAAACACTCCGTATTTTGCCAAATACAAAACAATAAAGAGTTTAAGATCTATGATGCGGCAAGTCAACGACGCACCTTCAAAACAACGAAATTCTGCAGCACAAGATATATGAATAATTTGTGGTCCCATGGGGCATGGGTGTATCCTCAATAGCTGTATGAAAACGACTGCTGACGCCACACTATTCCTGTTCATCAATTTATGGCGAAATTTCCAGTTCAGATGCCAGAATCGTACACGACTAGTCGTATGGTGTAGATATGCCTTAAAAAGGAGAAGGAGTAATTCAAGGGAGTTATTAGAAAGGGAGGGCTAAAAATAAAGAATTTACCCCTCTGAATTTACCCGAAAGCTAACCAACTTTAATGTCAGTCAGTCCAGTTTTATCTTGAGGTCACTAGCCCAGCCTAATCGCGGGCTAAGGGTTAATTCCAAGAAAATTAAAACGAACGCAAACTTTCACTTTGGCAGTACAGTATTTGTGGCAAGATTTTATGCGATCATTTCGGTGGAAGAAGACACAAATATGTTATCTTGAATTGTGAAGTAGGAAAGATTTAATTGAAATGGCCAGTGCTTCATCAGAAAGTGTTCCTGTTGATGAAATCAACGAACTACTCACATGTTGCATGTGTTTGGAAACTCTGCACGAACCACGAAGCTTGGCTTGCTTTCATAATTTTTGTAAAGTGTGTTTAGGTGAGTAAGTGAAGGCAAAACAATTGAGAAGGGCTGCATTGTATGCATAGCCAGGCAGTCACTTGCCATACTAAGTTCTGTTTTTGTGTATTAAGCTTCCTCTCGACACAAAGTAGACGAAATCAATATATTTTAATAATTCATGAAAATACGCAGAATTTGTAGGATTTCATTGTAAATGCGCCGACAGAAGTCACAGATAAATATTTGCGCAGGGAACGCCTATATTGTAAACCAGCTAGCCTGCGTGGCAGGCCCTCAATTTTATGGGGGGCTTGGTTTGCAGCGGGCAGGATTTTGGCGGGCTCCGGGGGAGGAAAGAGGGCCTGCAGGAAAGCCCACCTTTCATGACTACATGCCGTTCAGATTCTGAACGGTTAATTACGATCACCTGATTGGTCAATACCAAGACAGTGATACTTGATACTTATCAACATTCTAATCTTAACAGCTTTCTAATCTTGAACTGTTGAACTTCGTGGCTATTTTTTCTTGTTCAGCAGCGATACAAAAGATGATCTCACTGGCCAGTCGTCAGGAAATAGCACAGGATACTGCAAACAATTAACGTGCATGGATGTAAATACTGATTCTGATGATGTACTATATAAAAGTAAGCAGTGAAGGGCTTTTGTCACAGGGTGGTCCAGCCACAGACAACAAGATTTCTAATTATTTGGTCTGTCTTTTTGTTTGTAGGGTTTCGCGTCACAATATTCCCATTCGGATGACCTAAAAGCACTTTTAATGATTTAAGTGACGAACGCCCTTCACACGTTTTCAAACCGTCGATGTTGAGCTTACTTAGTACATCGTCAGAATCAGTATTTACATCCACGTTGTCTGCAGTACCTGTGCTATTTCTTAATGACTGGCGAGTGAGATCATCTTTTCTATCACTGCTGAACAAGCATTTTTTACGTGCAGATTTCGATTCAGTTCTAGACATACTACCCGGAGAACATCGCGGAGAACAAACGCGATTTGATTCAGTTTGGTTGAATGGACTAGCGCCACGGTCAGCGGGTCAGGAGTTAACAGTTTACGCTTTCCTGATGTTTCCACATCTTTGGGCTGGTAATGGTGTTGAAACTTCTCGTGTAGTGTATTAACTGAAGATTTTAATTCCGTTATAAGCTCACGCACTTTTAGAATTTTTTTGGAAGCCAACTTTCTCACATATAATCTGAGAGCACATATTTTCGCAATATTGTTTGATTGACATGTTTACGTACAAGCGAATATTATTTCTTTCTTGCCAGGGTTTTCCCCAATTGCAGCTGAATTTTTATTGGTCAATTTTAGAAACCATTAATTATGTTATGACTGGGGCGTGTAGTCATGAAAGGTGGGCTTTCCTGCAGGCCCTCTTTCCTCCCCCGGAGCCTGCCAAAATTCTGCCCGCTGCAAATCAGGCCCTCCATAAAATTGAGGGCCTGCCACGCAGGCTAAGTTCTATACTATAGCTAGCTAAAATTTTGTTTTGTATATTTAATTTTTCATATAAACTTGCGTAGATCATTCATGTGTCTTTGTTTAGGTGAAATTAAGGAATAATTCTGGGAATAATTCGAGCCGGGAGCAGTTCTAAGGCGAGCAATTGATGAATTTCAGTGCGGTTTACGTAGTGTTATTTTAATATTATGTAAACAAAGCGCAAATTTGACCAAATTGACCTTCTCGCCGCTTCGCACACAGCGGCATACCCGAAGGTTTGACTTTAGAACCTTGGGGATAAAGTTGTCATCTGCATGTGGATGCAATTTTTCATTTCAGTTTTGGTCAAACAAACGCGAATTTTGCTTCCGAACTACGTTGTTACAATTTAGTGCACTTCCGCAACCTGCACAGAGGGGTGCCGGTGGCTTTCAAGGCTGACATCTTATCAACTAAGCAATCAATGAATTTGATATTTGTATGTTTTATAAGTAAAGATAAATAAAACAAATGGCGAATAAAACGTTTTGCCAGCGCGTTTAGTTTTGATACGGTGTATAAATATAAATATTAAATATTGCGAAATTTCGGCCTTGAAAGGTGACCAAATTCGAGCTTCTAGGAAAGTGAAAAAAAAGATTTCCAAAAAAGTATTCCAGTTTTATTAGTTCTTTACCAATCCCTTTTGATGTGCCAAGTTTCAGAGAAATTGATATTCTGACGCGAAGTTAGGGAGGCTGCCAGCACTTAAGGGGCGGACCATTAGAAAAGTGATGGGGGGGGGGGGGGAAACAAAAAAAAAATTCGTGCAAGGCAAATTAACTTTAAAAAAAATTCCTGCATGATCAAATTCGAGGAAAAAAAATTCCTGCAGAGCGCAATGAAAAATATAATTAAATCATTGTTGGCGAGATTGTTCATTGTTGGAAAACAGGGCCAAGCTTTATTTTATTCTGGACTTGCAATCCGCGATGTTAGTCATCTTTCAACAAAAGTAGGTCGTTTAATATCTTCTATAGACGTCTATAGAAGATTATAGAATGGTGGGCCATGTAGCCGCAAATTCAATTGCGGTGCCTTTGGCTTTGCATCATTTGGAATGGTATTTAAGAATTGGACGGCTTCATGTAATCATGTATGTCTTTTAATCAGAGTCAGACACAGGTATTAAATTAAACTGACTCGCACAGAGATACTACTGAAATCGTAAATTCGTAAAATAGATTGGAACTTGAAGTTGAAAACGTATTTTGTATAAAATATGTGTTTTTAATAAAAAGTCTGGTATTGGGGTTTGGCTTTGGGTGAATGGGTGGGGCTAGGTCTGTGGAAAATGAGAGATCTCTGTCTTTTGACTCCATGGCTGTATTAAAATATATAATAGTTTTCTACAACTTTTCAAAAGTAATTGTTCAAGGAATTTAATCACATTATTTATTGAAAGAACAGAAAATAGTTAGTCTTTTTCTTAATATAAACATGAAAACTGTATAGATCGTACACAATATCAACAAAAACATTTGAAATTATAAAATATAGTTTAGGGGCAGTTCACAAAATAGGTGACGCTATTTTAGTCAATTTTTCAGACCCCCTACCCCTATGTGACGTTGTGTGACGACTGCCAAAATACCCCCTCAAAAATTACGTGACTACTGATCATGCAAATACCCCCTCCAATTAAGAAAAGCAAAAATTTGAAACGTTCAAGCAGTTGCTATTTATTTTTCCGCTTGATTGATGTGTTAAATTTTGAGCCTGCAAGAGGTAGTATCAATGAAATACTTCATGTTATATTTACATTTGTAAGTCCCTTGACTCACTTTCTGTTTTTGAAACGTTTTTGATATTTAGAAATACCAATTTATTTGAAACCAAGTCATTTAATTTAATTTTTAATACATATGTTAACATTGCCGAGTGTCATTAAGCTTTTGTCATGTGACGCGGCTGTAAATAACCCCCCACTCCCATGTGTGATTATGTGACTCTTGCTAACCCTCCCCCCCCCCCTTCAGCGTCACATATTTTGTGAATGACCTTTTATGTACTATGTAATTAATATAAATTGTACAAAATATCCAATCCATATCCATCTTTATCTGGCTGAGACACTGCCTCCTCCTCCTGACTTCCCTATTCATCTTCACTGTCTTCATCTTCACTGTCTTCATCTGAGCTACTACCGTTTATATCAACAATAACTGGTTCAATAGCACTTTGCTTTTTTTAGCTTGACGTTGCTTTTCCTTTTTAGCATTATGCTTGCGTTTTCTTTCTACCAACTGTTGAGCAGAACAAGTGCCAAATTTGCTACGGTACTTTTCTATAAGTGATTGGTGACATTTGATAATGTTCTCGCACTCCTTTACCAGTTCCTCGAGTTGGGGCAGAAGATTGGTAAAGAACTTTAAGACCTGTGAAACATATATTAGTTTTAATAAATAAACATGCATGGGTCATATAGACATTTTATATACAAACATTCCAATGAAGATTGATCTCATGCTTATTTTAGTTCTCAAATGGTATTTTGTACAATTTGAAAAAATCTTTCTTGCAAAAACTTAGGTAGGGTAGGTCGGTTTAACTTTTTATTAACTTTTTTATATTTAATATATATTATATATTATATATTATATATGTAATATGTAATATTGGCTAAAATTTCCAATTTCTGGAAATTTCTTCGTCTAAGCGGAAACACTTAAAGACATGATCCAAAAAAAGTTTTATAGGGTTGGTATTTCGGCGTCCAAAAACTAGATAGGGTCGGGAAACCGGAAAACCACATATTTTTTTTGGCCTAAGACCCTCTCTCTACAAATATCAAAGGCCATTCTTTTGGAAGCAGAAAAGAAATAACCACCAAGTTTTACCGGAAGTGCCCTTTTTTCTATTATTAAATGTAGAATAATGGGGAAAACACCATATTTTACTAAAAATATGCCCTTTAATATGATGAAGTGCCCCCAACTTTTCTTTGCTTCCTAATCCCCTGGCCGGGTGATGACAGTACACCTTGACACCAGTGCTGATTTTGAACAAACCTTCAATTATGACTTCTTCTCCACCTCCAATGCATTTTAGGGTACTGTCAATTTCTTTTCTGCACAAGGCCGTCTTTTCCTGGGCAAGTCCCAAGGCATTTTGACAGCTTTCCATAGCTTTACACAGAGGATCGTACAGGGCCTTTTTCGGTTCTGACTCTTGCTGTAATAACACTGCCACCTCTGGGTACCGTTGGCTGCTCTGTTTTAGCAAACCATGGACGCTGCACCTCAAATAATACGGTGTCCAAGACGATGCATCAATAGTTGGACTTTTAGCTAGGCACATTAAGAGCTGTATTCGTGTTTTCCGCTCTTTGCGGCACCAAAGTTCACATTCCCTTAGCGTCTTTGAGTGCTTAAAGCGATCACTGGCCATAGTCAGGATAAACGAGTTGCTGAAAATCTGACTTGGATTGAGAGGTTGTTCAAAATATAAATTGTTGAACTTCCTTTTCAGCGACTCGGTACTGACAACCACGTTACCTTGTCCATCCTTGGTGTGAAGGAAATTCTTCATCCCCTTGGGCAATGAAACTATCGTCGAAGCACTTGATGCTCTGTACGTTGATTGTGGGGGGTTCGGCTTTGCTTTCTCTTTCTCCAAACACTTCGCTTGCTCTGCTTTGTAATTTGTATACACACGAAGCAGTCGTCGAAACTGAATGTCGGTTAATGCAAGATCCCCTGCATCTTCACGACTGACGTCCTCAATATGACTGATCTCAGTGATGCCCTTGACCAAAAACAATGAATGCTTGTCGCCAAGAGACATACTCTTTAACCATTCGTGAAACAGAGTACAGCTGCCTTGATTTATATTTGAACTGCAAGTCTGACAGAGGGAGTCGTCCTCTATATTTAGATCGATTTCTGACATTTTTTCGTTTCGTTGGTCAAGCGCGAAGAGATTTTGCCATTTTGGGGTCTATTATATTTCAACAACATCAAGTACTTGCTTGATGCGCAGTGGTGGAACGCTGACTACAAATATATTTTACATTTTTTAATTTTTAAATATTTTATAAATATATATAATTTATATATATTAAAAAAGTCCAAGTCAACGTCACACTACCAAGATGGCGGGAAGAAAAACTGAGAATGTTGTAAAACGATCGATCCTACCTGGATTTTAATGCCAGTCTGGGTTTTAAGTACATCACGCTTTCATTGTGCAACAAAACAGCTGAATCAAGACACTTGGAACTCCAGGATGTAATCGGAAACTGTATTAACACTGACAGAAAGAAGAATCTCGTTGCCTTTTCCAGTCTCTTAGACGAGCTAAACGCAGTTAAATGTATGTCATTTCAAGAAGTATTTCAGCAGTTTGCTGCAAAGATCCCTGAAATAGCACGTAAAATTAACAAAAAAGAAGCTCGTCGTCAATTCAAAGACAGGTTGTTTTCCAGGAATGGTTTGCCTGTCGTCAGTCTAAACATTGTTGACCAGGCATTTGTCATACTTCTCGAGCAACCAATGAACAACATATCCTTGTGTCGTAGCTTGGATATTGTGCTTCGTAACATTGATACTGCTATACTGAGAAGAGCGAAGACGCAAGCGATCGATTTCGTACCAGGATAGCTGGCTGTATTCCTTCTTTAATGAAACTGATGTCGACATCAAAAGACAGGGCTATTTTGACATTTGTTCTTTCTAGTATCTTTTCTCCAACCAGTTTGGCGTTGACGTTGGGAATGCGAACCCAGATAACTCAAGGTATGATAGTAAAAGTTAACAATTTTCTTTCTGAAATGGACAATAAACAGGTACAAGTGGAACTGGAAGCAGAGAAACACATAGATAATTTAATATGTACATTAGAAACTGAACTAGAAAGTGGTTTAAATGAATTGACAAGGAAACGTGCAAGACTGCACGAAGATGAATGTGAAAGTCGAATGTTTGTCACTAGTGCAAAGAGAGCGAGATTGGACAGGCTGAAAGGGACGGCCAGAAACTCAGTGAAGAAACGAGTTGCCAGCCGACTATTTCGCAAATGGAAACAGAATCTTTCAACACAGAAAGGAAAAGGTAAAGGAGTTTACAGGATTGATCGTGGAGCTGAGATTGCAGTATTTGAAGTTTTGCAAAAGCAACTGAAAGCTCATAGACGTAGATGGGGAGATGAAGGCACAGGTTATTTGGAACATGATCAGAGAATGCAGTCAAGGGAAATGCTGAAAGTTGCAAATGATTACCTCGCGACACACGGGAAAAAACCCATAAAGTCAAGAGAGACCGTTCGTTCTTGGGGAAGGTGCAAGAATAAAAGATATCGCCAAGCCCAGCAACACCGAGGTCGGAATTTGTGGGCTCATCTTCGAGCTCCAAAGAAACAACGCGAATGTCATATAAACATGCATTATAACCGTAGTCATATAAAGAACTATACCAGATTAGCATTTGGAGGAGCTAAAAACTTGCTTGCTGAAAGGGGGCTTGTTATCAGACGGGCTATAGACGATAAAGCCTATGTTAGGTGTGGAACGTCGGAGGGATTTTCAAGACCTGTACATACTCCAGTAAACCTGAACACAGGTAATGATGTAAACCAATTTCAGCTCCCTTCTTCTGATTATCCTGACCCTGTTGGGTATGTATCACCAGGTGTAGTTTTACTTATAAATGATATGAAAGAAATTGATTACGAAGGCAAGGACAAATTTGTTCCCACAAATGTGACAGTGACTGTCACGTGCAAGCCAAAACATAGTTACCCAAGCACAGCCACAAACTGGGCTAATGATTTGACTGCCACACGGTATTTGTTTCGCAAAGAACACGAAATACCTAGTGACAATTCTTCTGAGGAAAGCTCACTACTATTAAACAAGGCCTCACTGCAAGATGCAATGATTTACCTTGTTGTTATTAGAGATTCTTTATTGCAATTTGAATTGATGACTATTAAAGAGGATTATGAACATATTTTTGAGGCAGGAGATCACCTTGATAGAGAAAGGATGAGGAATGAGATTCTCCTCAAAAGACTAGATACATGCATGGCAGCAATAGATCAGTATCGACGAGATCCTGTTATCAAAAAACTGATGGAAGACCTTCAAGTTTTGGTTGAACAACTAAGAGCAATAGGTATGTATATTGTATTTATTAGTATTAAATGTATTACTGTAATTTAGCGGTATATAAATGAACATTGTTTATAAATTCACATGTCATATTAATTATATCTGTGACTAATAAATCTCAAGGAATGGGTTTGCGTATGGAACTTTTTCGGTTTTTGCAGTTATTTTATATTTATAAAATTATTTTTTAGTATCTCATCTTGATTGCAATGAATGGAACAGCATTGAGACAGATTATACAGTTGCTAAAGAACTTTGTGCAAGGATACGTAGAGAATGGAGAAGAGTGGTCTTCCTAAACACAGGTACTACACGTCTAATGTAAATATGTTTTGATAAATGGTAAATATGTTTTGATCTACCTCAAAATCCTTTGATATCAATTAACCTACACTGACTCTTATATTTTGAGCAATGTCATTGTGTACAATGGAAATATTGAAAATACACACACTGCTTTTATAATATGAGTTTGTATGAAAAACTACAGTAATTAACTCCTCCATTTCTAACTATTAATATCAGGAAAACAGTAAGGAAAATTTTATAATAAAACTCTTTTGTAATTGTATCTAAAAACATAGGGGCTTGCCTCCATTAAAATTCTCTGGTGTTTACTTTGTACTAAAACATTGTAGATACGGTATTTTTAGTAAGTTGTGATTGAATTGAATGTTTTATAATATATCGGTCTCTTTATTATCATCAGTTTATTTCTTCTTTATTGATATAGGCCTGTTGATATCCAGACGTCTGACGCTGGCCCTGGTGTCTCAAGTCACGAACATATTACACAAATTAGGATGGCTGAATCCTTTATGATTAATAACTTAGATTTACAATGCAGATTCCATTATGCCCCAAGTGATTCAGCCTCCCATATTGCAGAAAAGGTAATGAGGTCTTTAAATGAATGTTTGGGCGATGGACGGTCTATACCAGTCCCTAAAACATCCCTCGTAGACATGCAAGGAAAGTTGAAAATGAATGATATTAGTAATGATGAAGTACAGAGGTTACAACATGAAGAAGAAGAGAGCATTGCAAAGGAATGTGCCGAGGAAGTAAGAAAACGATTCAATGGAAAGAGTTGTATGGGGACATCAATTCATGCTTTAAAACCATGTTACGAAGAACATACAAAGTTTTTCTTTGATGAGAAATATATGCTTAGGTGTGTGAATGCTGCTCCTTCCAATCTTGAGAGATGTGCAGGAAAGGGCTTTGAATTTGTGAAGAAATTTTTTCAGGAGCATTACTTCCTTTATGACAATGGTTTTGAAGGGCACAGAGAGGGCTGTGGGACTAATAAGTGTGAGTATCATGCTACAATTGGGCGTAAGACAGATGACCCCCACTGTTCAACTGTTCATCGAGTTCAGCCACCAGTACCTGATTACTCCTCAGTTACACAATTTCACTATTTGTCACCACAAGCCATTTCAACGGGAAATATCACAGAGAGTTTTGGTTTGACCAAGAAACAGGTTATGGATCCATGCACCATGGAAAGAGATGACTTCAACCCAAGAAAACAACTAGATAAACTTGTTTCCTCTTGTGGCCAACCAGAATTGAAGCCGAAGCATGAGGACAATATTTCAAGTGAGTCAGACACTGTTTGTACAGTTGTAGACACCAATGACACTCTTGCAAAGATGCTGTCAAAAGTAGATGATTTTGTTGCAAGCTATTCTGGTGAAGATTTAAGGAGTTCAGTGGTGAAGGAAATAAAGCACAGATACAATGCCAAAGTGAAAGCATTTGTTTCAAAAACAACCAATGCAAGTGCACGAGCATCAGAAAAGGCAAAACTATACGACGATATTGAGTGGGAAACACTTATTAGAAAAAACGAGCTCGGTGATCTTTATGTCTCCCAGTTAGATCTTTATCTAATCAAGAATTTAAATTTGACTAAGAAAGAGCGTAGCAGGAAAGGGTATTCAAAAGCTGCAAAGGTTGAGGATATAAAGCAACATTTTTATTCCTCGTTCAGCCAAACTGAGAACAAGAAAGGGCAAGTGGCTCAGAATGTCCATCTGTCATTGGGTCAACCTGTTGGCAAAAAAGATACTGATGAGGTTCCATTGTTAAATGTTCCTCCCTGGGGTGGGACAGTAAATGTTGAAGGCAAGAATGTTATCCTAGCTAACACATGTCCAATTGACAACTTTTTAACAATCTTTTATGCACTAATGAAGATGCATGGCAGTGCATATCAACATTTGTCCGCTTCCACTCATTTGTACGCCAGTGCACTTGTGAGAATTTCCCACCTGCTTGATGCCGGAAAATTTAGTGAAGGTAAATGGGAATGGCTAAAACTATTTCCCGGTCGTTTTGAGTTGTCAGAAAGAAATAAGGTTGACTTGTGGGGGAACGAAGAGGAAATGTTTGTTTCTAGGCTGTACCCTGTGTTGGAAACAACATTCACAAGCACATGTGGCTCTGCAGCTTGTCCCATGAGAATATTGGAAGTACACTCCAAAGCTATCCGATTAAGGTGATCTATATATCTTTTCTGTTTTTAGCACATGTAAAAACTGCCAAAATTGTGTCTTTGAAATAACTTCTTGACACACTATGCGGGCTTTGTAGTGTTTCTTTTTTAACTTTAATATATTGTAGTTATGGAGTATGTATTAAAAAAACCTAGTTATTTGCAATTGCAAAATTTGTAAATGTTATTTTTTACAGTGAGACGGGTATTCCACCGCCCCAGTTCCTTCAAGAGTCTCTATTTGAGTGGCATGATTCATCTCAGCTGCAAACTAGATGTGGGCGTGCGATGTTGGCAGTGCCTGCTGGTTCAGACCATTTCCTAAGCAGTTATTATGTGCAAGATCCTGTTACTGGACAACTGCTGTAAGTATAAACAGTGTACCAAATTGTTGATTTTTCAATTATAGTATATATAAAACTGTACTGATCTTGGCAAATTTATATAATTGCATTTTTACGATTGTATGTATATTTGCTTGTCCGATAGGCAATCTGTTAATGCCTATTGTGGTGGCATGCGGGTGAACAGCCAAAGAAAGTTCTTGGGGGGAAATAGTCCACCATTCATGACTATGTCTCTGAATCACTTTGTTCACAAAGGCATAATAACTGATGTCTCTCACATCCCACTGGCAGTACAATTGTCAAAGGAGAGGTAAAGTTGAATTTCCAATATAATAAACGAAAATATATTGCTAGTATATAAAAACATTTAGGCAACATTTACTGAAAGTGTCTGTTTTGTACTTTTTAAAACAGTTACTCTTTGTTTGGAATGACCTTTTGGAATGGAAGCCATTATAGAGGAGCGCTCATCATGAAAGGTAGTTGGTACTATTATGATGGGATGTGGGAGAGAAATTCCAAGGGTGAAGGCCTTGCTAAATGTGGCGGTATGCCATCAACTCCTGTTGGCTTTTGTGTCGCCCACTGCGTATATGTCAGAGGAGATTTACTGAAATAAAAGATGAATATTCAGGTATAATGTATTACATCATATGTAGATGTGTATATTATCAGTGTTGCTCTACCTATTATGGCACATATTCCGATATTCACACGACTGTCAAATTGTTAATACGCGAACAACAAATCTCTTGCTGCCTGCATTAGTAAAACTCGATCAATCTAAAATGCCATCATGCATGCATGAATTTAGTTAAATGCCGGAATTTAGTATAGATGCCGGAATCAGACTTTTCGAGAAATTGCCAACATTTCAGACTCAGTTGTATAACAAATGTTCACATTTTTATTTGAGTGTTTTCCTTCATTCAATACGTTACTTGTGCTTTGTTAAGAAAACTTCTAGTTTCATGGAGAAAAAAAATTCGTGCAAATAATTTGGTGCCAAAAAAAAATTCCTGCAACGCCAAAGCAGTCGAAAAAAATATCGTGCATGCAAGAAAAGTCCCCCCCCCCCATCACTTTTCTAATGGTCCGCCCCCAAGACGTAGGCTACTGGTAAATTATATACAAGATTTTGCTAACGGATTTCATATATTTCAGACTTTTATAATTTTAATCCACTATTAGTTTTACCTTTTAATAACCCGGGACTACCACCTCAAATTGTTCTTAAAAATACTGTATTTATTGATAAATCTATAAACTGGCCGCTTCTACTATATAAAGAAGCTTTACATATCCACAGACAGAAACCTGAACCAAAGAACTTGTTATCTTTAAATTAATGAGGACATGTTGACAGACAAGATCATCTTTTATCACACCTGTAAACTTGTAAAATTTTCACAATCCACCTTTCCGACTCTCAAAACACGTGGCATTCCACGTGTATCAAATAACAAGGACTCGGACAAACAAACTCGGAAGAGACTATAATTTAATATAGCGTTAGTGACATATCAGGTTGTTTAACTGCTTTTAATAAAAGTAGACGCGATGGGATGAAGTATAAAAGCTGCTATTTATTGGTAGTCATATTATCGAATAGTTAAAACTGTTAAAGGGATAAAAATCGGTTCAGAAACATGTCTGACTGAGTCTGTGATGAAATTAAAACAAATCATCGTGAGTATCAATCTATGGTATCAATGGACCATGGCTATTTCAAGACAACAGTTTAATCGAAATGGAATAGTAAATTTCAGGAAGGGGGATATTATGATGCAGGTATGATATGAAAGTGTCAAAGTGAGTGTTGCTTTCATTTCATGGCATAATAATCTCGTGAAGATATTTCATTCACCACCATTTGGACTGATTATGACTGTTTCACTCGTTCGTCTGTCATAGCCATATTTTATGCATGCTTGGAGCTATCTTACATCTACAAACACAGACGCTTTGCAATTATGTGGTGTACTCATATTTAACTTTTCGTTACTTTATAGCTTTTAAAATAGGCTATTTTGTTAAAAAATTACACCACTCTGTCTGTCTTCTGTCTGTCAATGCCAGTTTCATATTTCACACATTACACGTAAAATGTCTTTCTTTTAGGCCTTGTTTCAGCGATTTAACATATCAGTTTTAAAAAACGACAGCGATATAAATATTGTAACTATTTGTAAGCTGCCAAACAACATTTATTGTAATCGGTCGAATGAGATATAGATATTCGAAAATATTAAACACGTGGAACTGAGACGTACAGTTCAAATAAAGGATCGGAATATCGATCACGTTTAATATTCGCGAGATTATGCCATCATTGCCATGAAGTGAACGGAATCAACGGATAGCTGATTTTCATATCATGAATAATAAAATCATATGTCTTGGTTGTTACTATACTAGTCGAGTGTTATTCCCTAATTTCCCTTTCATAAAATCTAGATGAATGGCAATGGGAAGCATCAATTTTTCAACCGCAATTACGCGCACAACGCTCACAGAGTCGAGTTTTAGGTCCAATATTTTCGGAACATAACACAAATTTTCGAAAAATCACTAAATTTTCAAAAAAATTGACTTAATTTTAGACAAAATTGACAGAATTTGTCTCATTTTTTTTTTATTGCAAACCAAAATTGCCCGACTGTTGATCGAATATTGCCCGACTGCCCAAAAAAACTGGGGGGGTACCGCCCCCCCCCCGCCCGGTACGCCTATGATGCCACGTGTTTTGAGAGTCGGAAAGGATGATGACTCAACAGTAGTCGAAAAGTTGAATTAAAAATATGGAATTTCTTTGGAGTTTCAATTGTATTGAATTTTATTAGAATTCTCATGCAGTGGTTACTGTAAAGTTGATTACAGGCTATAATGCAGTGTATAATGTAAATATCTCAGCGGGTCAGATAAACCACCATTGGAATCCTCAAAAATAACCTATTGAAAGGAACAGGTTAAGTCGTTGCATGGCAAGCTAATAAATTTCATAAAAACACAATTTGCATTAATAAAAATTCATTGTCCCTAATTAATAGACCTTTCCCCTTTTAAGTGAAATTTTGCTGCCACGCGAGGCTCATTGGCGGAAATTCACTTTTTTCCGGTGGGGGGGGAAAAGCCTCCTAAATTTCCGACAGAACTTACAAATTTCCGACATACCCCCCCCCATTTGCACTCGAAAAGAACTGTTTTTAGCCCTCTTTTAGATCAAAATTTCCGAAAATTCGTCAATTTTCCGGAAGGTAGGGGGCGGCCGCCCCCCCCCCCCGCCCCACCAAGATTTCCGCCACTGGCGAGGCGGTTAGCTCAGCAAGTTGCTCTCATGTGCGGCGGGCTTTAAACTCGATCAATACATTGTAAAATAGCCGGGTTTTTGTTTTACCTGCCCGTCAACTGAAATCCCAAAATTTGACGTCATTCCAAACAAGGAATTAAGTGTTTTCGATATTTGATATCATATAAGAAGGTCTTTCTTCACTTTGAAATTATCTTATATCAAAATGCGTATACACAGAGAAATACTGGTTGTAAGTGTATTTGTCGTGTTGGTCATTGTCGGCTTTGAGTATTATTATTTTAAATGGACACCATTTAACCAGGATTTCAAGCGTGTCATCATAGTCTGTGGTAAGTCAAATCAATGCTATTTATTATCATAGAATGAGGTCTACAGTAGTGTTCTATATTAATTTAAAAAACTCATTAATAATTCAGGAGCAAAACACAAAGAAAAATCATAAGCGTGTCGTGGTTTTATATGTGATAAATAATCATGTTAATTTACATAAACTTTAGCTTTGATTTTCTCGGTTTAGACCATGTTTATTTTAAAAGTTACTTCGCCAATGAACTCGTATAAGATGAGTCGTTTTTTAAGCCATTTAAAGCACTTGTAGTCGTGTTTTATCACATATAAAACACTCCGCTACGCGTCGTGTTTTATATGTGATAAAACACTCCTACGCGTGCTTTAAATAGTACATATACATGTACATACTGTAGCTTACTCAGACATGCTATCAGATATTATGGCCTTATTTAAACATGGCTTTGAGAATTATAATATAATGAATGGACATCGCGTTTAATAAAATATTGTCGGTATATTAATGATAACATAAGTACGCCTGCGCAGGGTACACTCCGGCTACGGCGCAGGCGGCGTATAGGAATTAAGGCAAGTCATATGTGGAGGAGGTTGTCTGAGGTTAAATTGTTAATTAATTAAAGTTAAAAAAGTTGTTAAAAAATCTAGACTGAAGGACCTGAAGCGTAGCTATTTTAGAGATGCATGGTGTTATAGAAAGACGGTGCATGTGCTGTTGAAAATATAGAAACACGTCGGTAACGTATTTTTTGTGCTTTATTAATCGCATTTTGTCTATATATTGAACAAAAGCGCATTGTAGGAAGGTGATCCATGCCTTATATGGATCCAAAGTGAGTAACATTAAAGAATGAGTCTCACGGTAGTGTCTGTATTGGAAACTCGGTACAACATGACATAGTCATTATAATTATGTATGTAACATTTGTATTGTGAGTAAACTAGTAAGTATTATATGATGACTCAATTGGTTATATAAATAAAACTTCATATGTCGAGATAGGATTTGACCCGATTTGTGCGTATAAAATTAAAGAAGGATGTACATGAGCTAGATGTGGATTGCCCCAAAAAAGAATCTATTAGATTCTCAACGAAGACACTGATCGATAGTGATTTTACGCGGCACTTGCTTCTGAATTTTGGCGAAGACAAGCCTTTGCAGTTATCATGCAATGCCAATGGAATCTCCAGACGATGGCAAATACTACATATCTGTTATTAATGCAATTAATTTCTTTATATTTTAAAACAATTTGTTATCTACGTCCCATATGATCATATCATATATTTTGTATATAACACTTTAGATCGACCCTTGCCATATGTAAACATAAACAAAAAGCGCGCAAAGCATTACCTTGAGACTCATTCTAAAATAATGTATTTGTTTAATTAATTAAATGTTTCTGGTACAAACTAGTTAGGTTATATATCAAAAGCGGTATTTATATGAAGAAATATGATACAATAGTTAGGTTGATTATTAACGAATTAATTAAATATGATTAGTTCTTTAGAAGCTTTAAGTCCATGATTAAGTTCAGGTTTATATCTTTGAATAGCGAGGGATTCTTGATATAGTAAAAGGGACCAATGGTTAGATTTATCAATTATTTTAGTGTTGTTAAAAACATGTTCAGCCATTATACTGGTTTGATCAGACTTTGCGTCATCGTCGGGATAAAGTTCTAAAAGGGCTTTAATATGTTGAAACTGTTCGCAAGTAGAGAGGTGTTGATGGATTACAGATTCTGTGTGATATGAATGTTCCTTAGTTCTGGTGTATAAGCAGCGATCAGTTTTGCCGATGTACCTACTATTACATCCAGGGCAAGTAAATTCATATACTACAGAGCTTTGATAAGTTTTTGGGGTTTTCGGGGTAACTAGCTAGTTTATCCTGAACTAGTTTATCCTAGCTAGTTTACCTAGCTAGTTTATCCTGAACTGTTTATTCTAGCTAGTTTAGCTAGTTTATCCTAGCTAGTTTATCCTGATGATGACTGAAATATAGTCGAAACGTAGATAAATAAAAATGTTATCGATTTTTGGAGTTTCACTTGTTTTGTATTTTATTAAAATACTCAGTGGTTCTAAAAATTTCTGGTACACATCTGTGTACCGTATTAATAATTAACTTGCAGTAAACATTCATTAAAATGGCATTCATAGCAGCAGGAGTCCGCGTCCCCCAGGCAATCATTTGATATATGAACCGAAATGATTTTCGAGGTCATAAGTCATAACTTAAGTTGTGGTCTTGTGGGCTTTAATTAACTTAAAAGTCATTCGAAGAGGCATGGTGGAAAACACGGAGTGCGGAGTACGGAGTTGGATTACGGAGTCTATCAATATCTTTATGGGGGCATAAAGTGTAAAACGCGGAGTCTGTCAAGAAATTGTTTATTTTGCCTAAAGATTTGAGCGGTTTGTCAACAATACAATTTGGCTTGTCTTTAAAAGGCCATCACGTTCAGAGCACGTGCAAGTGCAACGAATTTTTACTAGGCGATTTAGGAAATGTATTGATTCGAACAAACTAACAAACTATGAAGATACTCACAGGCTAGCCTGCGTAGCAGTCGCTTTATTTTATTGTAGGCCGTTGAGATTTTTGAATAAATGGCAGGTTAGAAAAAATGGGCGAAGAAAAAAAGGGCGAGAAAAACGGGCGAAGAATAAAGGGTTTTTCTCGCCCTTTTTTTCTTCGCCCATTTTTTCTAACCTGCCATTTATTCAAAAATCCTCAAAACCTACAATAAAATAAAGCGACCGCTACGCAGGCTACTCACAGGCAGAATATAAAGCGCAGATACCGCAATAATTGTCGCTCTTCGTGTGTGGCAATTAAGTGATAAGACACAAAGACAGCCTTTAAAATCAAAGACAGTCTTTAAAATCATGCTTTACTTACTCTAGAGGTGCAGATATATGTAACTCAGCCGGAAATTCTTTCCTACAGGCATGCAACAGCCAAAGCACTTGAAAGAAAACAGCCATATAAACAACCTGATTACAACAAAATCTTTGTATTTGTTAGACGAGTATTGAAAATTTAACTCCAGTCGTGTTTTCAAGCCACAAAATTGCTGCAAATTGCACTGTTGTCGCACAAAGGTTTTCAAGTTCTGAAAGTTACGGTCACTATCGCGGGGTATTTACATTGCAGATTGCAAAACGGACCTTATGATTTTTTACCGATATTAAGTCTATTAAGGAATTCTTGAACTTGGCAATGAGAGCACTAACTACGTCGAGTCACATCACATGTGCTTTTCGCATGGTACAAATAACAAAATGTCGTTTAAGATAAAATCGAGTATTTGGACAAAATAAATCATTTCTTGACAGACTCCGCGTTTTCAACTTTATGCCCCATGAAGTGGAAAACGCGGAGTCTCGTTAAAATCGAATCTCTAGGCAAAATAAACATTTTTTTACAGACTCCGTACTCCGTCTCTGCCTTTTCCACAATGCCATTTAGAGATAATCTCAAGATTCAACAAGATTAGACACCGCGCCTTGTTAAGCAGTTCATAATTTTAATCTTATACTAATCTAGTATCTATTATGCCTCCTGTAGGTACGCGCGTGTCTTGACAAAGAGCATTGTTTAGAATCAGTTCTAGTTTGAAAAAGAAAATTAAAGTATTTTATGTTGAAAGCCTAAATTCGATGGTGACAATGTTAAAAACAATTTTAAACTTGTCTGTTCAGAATGTTGTGGTGTAAAATTGTACCTGTTAACTACATATACAGTACAGGGCCTCTTTTAATACCATAAACTAGGGGATTTGTCCCCCCCCCCATGCAGCCCCTGTTTGGCTCATCCAGTGAACTATATTGCCCCCCCCCCCACCCAGTGAAGGTGTCTTCTGTCTAAAATATAGGCGAAAAAGGAAGAATAACTAAGTAATTAAGAAGAGTATTTTGTATTCCTACAGGGTTCGTGCTACTCCTTAAAGTTGTTCGTGCTACTCCTTAAATACTTCAGGACATCTTGAATAAGTTTTGACTTTTCAATGGCGCTTGAAAAGCTCTTGAAATTTTTGAAAAGCTCTTGAAATTTACAGTCTTAAAAATTCCTTAAATACTCCTTGAATTCTTAAAATGGTTTGCTAAACAGTGAGTGAAACCATAGTGTTAACTTATGTTTAGTTGCCATAGGTATTTCGTGGTGCAAACACCGGCGTTAGAAACAATTCGTTTATATACAATTTCGCCAATATTACACCAGGTATTTTGTTTGTAAGCTACACTGCTCAATAAACCGTGGGCCAGATCTGGATTCGATTTTCCCGCCATTTTCTATGTTTTCATTTTCTTTGAAAGAAAACATCTCAAACACTCCTTGAAAACTGCTATTTTACTACTCCTTTGAATATTTTACTACTCTTTTTTATTACTCCTTTGAACTTAATAACTTTACAAGACCAGCACGAACCCTGTTCCTACTTCCTATGACCAAATCTCTGTCTATAGCGGATAAAATTTATAGAAAATTGTGTCTAAAAATGCCGAAAATCAAGCCCCAGACACTTAAAAAATATTTTTCTGGGTAAGTTCGCACTTTTCCCGTTCACCACCTTCTAGTTGGGTCCCTTTCTCTTGATGGCCCCTCCACTGACAAATTCTTAAAAGAGGCCTTGGTATATAGTATGTATATGGCCAAGTATTTTTATTGTTTTGTAAATCAGGTGCAATTCTTTTCATTGGGACTCTGTACCCTTTTGTTATCGCACCTACCTTAAGGCAAATTAGTTTAAATACTAGAAAATACATGCATGCAGAAACCCTCGGCATGCTGACAAAACCATTATATTTTCCAAACATGAAGTATTTAAAGTAGTTGTCATGGCAAGACGATAATTTTATTAAGATTTCTTTTAAATTGAAAAATCTCAAAAAAATATTGCTTATCATTATATGGATATGAGGTGTTCTGCTATCTGATTGGTTCTCTACTAGCAGGATATTAGCTCATATCCTGCTAGTAGAAAAGAACAAAATGGCGGCTCAAACTGAATTTCCGACGTTTTGCGAACGAGAAAACGGCAAGTTGTTCGCTTTTAATAGCCTTTACAAAATTAAAATCACAATGAAAAAACACCCTCAAATTGTTTACAGGTTAGCAAGTCAATTTTTAAAATTTAAAATGGTTAAACTAAATATATATTTTTGAAAAAATAATCGGCCGAAAGAGCGAAGATAAAAACATTAACAAAATAGAAAAATATTGATGATATCCGAAAAGCAAAGTCTGTGAATTCAGACCTTGTGTATACAACAGTTATTCCACTCACTCTCGTCGAATAGTGAGCGATAGCCTCATCGGCGCTACGCGCCTCATCGGCTATCAGCTCATATTCGACTCGAGTTCGTAGAATAACTGTTAATTATATGATGTCTTTTTTTCCATTGTGTGCAATGATCAGTTTTTAAAGCAATTATAAAGCAAATAACAATATTTTCGGGGATCATTCTACGCGTACGGACAAGAATTGTTTGTACATTCCCCCTACAACAAACGATAAAAAATCGGACACCGTCAGTCGATGATGGATATAGTTTAAGATCATCGTGTCAAATTTCATGGTGATCGCGGGCTCAAAAGGAAGGAAGCTTAGGCTTTTGCTAACATCGTCGTCCCCTGACGACGACGACAACAAAAACGACGATGAAAATAAATGGATATATTTTGCAGTTATTTTTTAACCAAACAATGATAGGAAATACCGTATCTCACATTAAGTTAATTTATTTACTCTCATTCTGGTTATCAAGGCATCATTGATCTAGTAATTAATTCTCCCTCTCCAACCCCCTCCCCCGAAAAAATGTGCCAAAATGTATAGGCCTAGCTTCAAAGGAGGGCTAAATTCAAGAGTTAATAAAAGTTAATGCATTGTTTCGATCTTGTGTAGTTAACAAAACGTCGAGTGAAAAGGAGGTTGTGGCTAACCCAACAACACAAAGTTCTCTAGACGTGGAGGTAAGAATGGGGTTTTGCAACAATTTGTCTTCTCTCTTTATCAATGCCGCCCTGGACACTGCGGAAAATATTGTGGATGCAAATTCGGTTGGCATGCAACAGATCATAAGCCCTACCTCTACTCGGGCTTTCCGCAGGAAATTCCCGAGTTATAAAATGGGCTTTGTTTTCTTTTTCCACGTTCAGTCGCAGATCGCAGTCATGTCCTTAACACGCTTGTCCAAAAAATTAAAATGCTGCAAACGTATGCGCATGCGTACACGCAACGACACGACATTCACCACGGCAAAATTGTGTACAATAAGCTCAACGTAAGACGAATACTAAAAGATTTTGAGCTTTTTCGGGACAGGTCGATCCGCGAACATTATGAGAGATAAATTTATAAGCGGAGATATATGTGGGAACTTTTCATCGATTTGTTTATTATTCACGTATTGTTCCGCATGTATACTCATGTCATCTATGGTGTACTGTTTACTGTTATGTCACTATTAAGAAGCATGAAAATAGAACAAAGTTTTTGTTTAATTAACTGTTGTGAACAAATTTCTCAAAGTAGACCATTGTGTCCTTGTTTGATATATAAAACCACGCTTGAATAGACAATTCCCATTACAGACTAATTTTAAAACTAGGCAAGGAGATGCAAATAAATCACCACAGCTAGAAAGAGCATACTAAAATTAGTAAAATTACAAAATTTGGTTGCGAAATGTTGTAAAATGTGGAAAATATAGCCTTGCAAAGTTTGCAAATTTTGTATACTTTTGTATTGCGTGCGACATTTTCTGCCTAAATGTGGTAGGGAATATGGTAGGAATTTCCGCAAGCAATACAAAAGTATACAAAATTTGCGAACTTTGCAAGGCTATATTTTCCTCATTTTACAACATTTCGCAACCAAACTTTGTAATTTTACTAATTTTAGTATGCTCTTGCCTAATTTTAAAATTAGTCTATAATGGGAATTGTCTATTGTTAATCAGTTTTCCAAGCAAATATATGTACATGCCTGGACAGCAATAAAACTTTTGTTATCATATACTGTACAGTGTGTATCGAAAAAAAGTATAATAGCCTTTCAAATCCGAGTTAACGATAACTATAAGTGATTTGATTGTTCTCAACTGCTTTGAGTTAATGATGTCGTTGACGACGATAGCTTTTAATATCGAATAGGTACTAAAGACCTTTTTTAATGTGTTTTAAAAGTCTATTTTTTAAATGTCTAACCAAGCAACCCCAAACACATTTATACTAGATATAATCCTCGAGGAGATGTACCTCGGTGTGCTGTGTGAAAGTCCGGAACACAACTGTCTCATTTTTGTCGGATATCTTGTGCATGTCGAAGTACTGACAGTTGTACATGTTTATTTTCTAGTTTTTTTTCTAGTTTTTACAAAAAGCTACCTTTTTAAATTTTTAAATAATATATAGTATTCAATATTAAATAGTATTCAATATTTGTCAATTAGAACGCAATTATCAACGACAAATGGTTGTCCTTCAGCAGTGTAGAGTGCGACCCGTGGATTTTCCCAAATGGAGTCGAATCACTTGTTGAAAAATATTGAACCCCAAGCACATTATTAAAAAAATAAGACAAAGATTAGATTAGGGTTAGATTAAGATTATGTTAGAGTTAGGGTTACAGTTAGGATTGGGTAAGGATTATTGTTATTCAGTGGCGGAAATTCACTTTTTCCGGTGGGGGTAGGGGCAAAGCCTCCTAAATTTCCGACAAAACTTTCAAATTTCAGAC